ACTTAATTTTCAATGAAAGGTGCCATATCTTTAATGTAAAGAGGTGCATCACCAATAGCACACCATGAAGCATATTTGCCTGATTTTTCCTCTGATCTGTACATAAATTTCTCACATCAGTCTCCTCTCACCTTGGCCAAATGTTTGGTGTATACATGTATATTTCATAACTGCCGGTAGTATTTTTCTCCCATAGCGAACCCATTATTCTTACTTAAGTTCTCTTTAATTAAAGTTAGTTATGACAAGTTACCACATCTAGAAAGGTATACATGTAATTTACCATGTTGGTAGGGGGAGGGAAGGGGGAGTTGGAATGCTTTTTGTATTTGGGAGTAAGTTTTAAAAGTTTTAGTATAACGTTATACACAAATAACAATGATCTTGGTAACTGCTTGCAAAACACTTTTTTGACTGAGAACCGGCTTCAAGATTGGGAGCAACTCTGTTGTTTATTATTTTATTTTTTTTGTTAGCCCAATCTGCTTGACGTTATGAATTTTTTGATTCAAAATATCTTCAGAGGGATAAATCAATGAGTTAAAAGGACGACTGAAGGTAGAATAAAATGATGTTGAATAATGAAATAACTCATTATCGTGAAGTCTTATCAGATTAAGGTGTCTTGATACAGTATTTTATGGACCTGACGCCAAGCATTTTCAATCAACTTTTTAATACTTATACCAGTGCCATAAACTCTGGTGTATGGCAGGTAGAATATACAAGAACAAAAGAATTCTGGATGTAATTGATCTGGAGTAAATCGCAAAAACATTTCAAATCATACTTTTTGCATCATCATAATAAATAACCTACAGTTGAACACTATTTTGGTGACAATTTGCTTTAAATAACACCAAAATGCATCTTGAAGTTATGTTTTGAAGCTGTTAGAGTTTTGTTGGTTTTCTTTTTCGCGATCTCAAGAACAAGACTTTTTCTTGAGATCACTTCCATTGTAATTTTTGGGTAATTTTTTATTTTCAGTACTTTTTTGGAAATCTAAAAAATGGCTTGATAGATTTTTCTGAAACATTAGTAATGTGTGCATGATAATACAAACAGTCTTATACCAAAGTTTTATTATTATTGCTACACTAGAACAATTTCAAATTTGTGAATGAAGGAGGGCCTTGAACCGACAAAAAAAGGTTGCGTTACGATTCACGATTAACGAAATGATACTACAATATTAAATCAATGTTTACTGCATTCCAACAGCAGCAGTTACAGTGTGTTGTCATTGACGGCGCTATTTTTTTCTGTTGTGCATCACAAAGGAATGCAATACACAATGATTAGCATAATTTAGCATATTTTTTAAACCATAAATTTGTAACACCACTTTCTTATCTGTTCATACACCCCTTTGTTAATCTTTTAATTTGAAAGGGTTCCAGTGAATCTATGTTAATAAAACTTTGGGATAAAATTATCTGCATTATCAAGCTTTAGTGGTCAATGTTTCAAAAACATCTATCAAGCCGTTTTCAAGCTTTTAAAGAAACGCTAAAAATCAAAAATTACCCGAAAATTATAATGAGAGGACCTTAAGAAAAAGTTTCGTTTTTGAGATTGCTTAAACGAAAACCTACAAAATTTTCACGGCCTCGAAACATAACTTTAAGACGCATTTTGGTATTATTTGAAGTAATAGCATCAAAACACATAATTTTTTCATTCTTGTATATAATCTACTTGCCCAATACACCATAGTTTAAGGCATTGGTATGTGCTTTTCCATATCACATCTGGTTCATGCAAAATTCATGTTTTACAAATTTTCAATTTTTTTGTTTATCGTTTCCATGGAAATATTGATTGCCTTAAAAATGATGTTATACCAAACTTCAATCCATTTCCAATTACTAGAGTATTACTTCCCTTATATTGATCTGATTAAGGGAAGACTGTCAAAAAGCTGAGTGAAAATGCTTGGTACATGGTCCAGTTGATGTCGGTAGAATTGCAAGATATCTCAGGTTAGTGCATTTTAGGGTGGCTTTTGGGATTATTTCCCTGGGATTTAAAGTGGGAGCTCTAATACCCCAGGAATTTTCAGAAGACCTACAGAAACCACTTTGGATTCTTGAATAACTTGGTAAACCAAACAATCTGTGAAAGTTTATATGGGAGGGGTAGGAGGATTAAAACAAGTTACCTTGAGACCCCCTGGGCTATATAGGTACATTCCACAGGATAGGGAAGCTACAGGGTTTTTGAAGTTCTTGATCCTTTAAATAGGGTATCATTTTTGCCTTTGTTGGCATTGTATTATGGTTGCGATCCTTAGAAACAATACCTAAACTGTATCAGCGAAAATGTCGAGCTAAATGAAAAACAAATGATCTGTTTAAACTGAATTATTTGTAACCTTCCAATGTTACAGAAACAAAATAAAGTTGACCCTTTCATGCCATTCTTAGTTTCTGTTTTTCCCTTGAAAAGGGTATCATTTTTCGGATTCGGGCCTTGAATAGGGTATTTATTTTCATTTGCTTCAGCTCTAAATAGGGTCAGGGTTTAAGACCCTTTGAGGCACACACCTACCTTAAATTTACGGAAGTACCCCCCACACCTCCCCCTTGTCTCCCCCTTGCCATAGCTGATTATTTTTCTGTTTCTCTGTGGTTTCCTGCATGTAGCTTCTATATGACAGCTCACGAATAGTTCGTTTTAGAACTAGAATTTTAGGTTTCGACTTCAGCTGTGATCAGCGTCAGTATTGCGTATTAGTTCTTCCAAGCCTTCAGAATCTACTAATCAACTACAATAAAGATTGAAGAAATCACTGGTGGTTTGACACGTTTGTCACCTTTTGCACCAACAGTGTTTGACTAACTGAAAATTCAAGATGTCTTAAATGCCCAGTAGGTTGCCAAGGGAGAGGGTACATGTATGTTGAAGTTTCATATTGATTGTTAATTTAATACACATTTAACAAATAGAACATGTGTTGTTATAGGATAGCAGAGACAGAAATCGAATCAGCTCTGATCAGTAGTGTTCAGGCAATCAATAGAAGATCACAGAAGTTTCGAGACGTTGTCCAGCTCCTGAGATAGCAAAACTGTTTATGGTTTCGATTGTGTTGCGTGATAAAAATATTTGCGTGACTGATTGACTGCCCATTACTTGTCAATCGACATGGAGGTCCTCTCTCAACCCATGGTGGCAGCTGAGCCTTCCGAATATCGCCAAGAACTTGTCGAGCGTTTAGATATCCTGAGAAGAAACCAAAGTTTCTGCGATGTGAAAGTGGTCGTAAAGGAGAAAGAATTTGCCGCTCACAAAGCAGTGCTGGCTGCAGCAAGCCCATTCTTCTTTTCACTTCTGACAAGCGACATGCATGAGAGAAAGTAAAGAACATTTAATCAGAATAGAGCTTGAAGAAGCAACGGCGTCTGTTATGGCAGATGTGTTACAGTTCATTTACACTGGAAATGTTTCGGTTACTGAAGAAAACGCTCATAATTTGATGGCAACAGCAGATTATCTTCTTCTTCCAGGCCTGAAAACAGCGGTGGGCAGGTATTTGATGGAGATTTTGGCAACTGAGAACTACAAGTGTTTTCAATTATTATTTTGCCGATAAGTATCGGTGTGCTGCGTTGAAAGAAGAAGCCCGTGAGATGATCAATTCAGATTTCAGTACCGTGATAGAAACAGATGATTTTCTGAGT